TTTTTTTTTTTTGCGGAACCAGGGATTGAACTCAGGCCCTTGCGCTTGCCAGGGAAGCGCTTATTCCACTGAGCCATCTCCCCGGCCCTTTTTTTTTTTTTTCAGGCTAGCTTCAAACTCACTGTGTGGCCCAGGCTGGCTTCAAACTCCTGACTGATCCTGCTGCTTCAGCCTCCCAAGTGCTGGGATGCAGGTGTGCACCGCCACCACAGCCACGCCTGGCGTAAAAGGCAAAGCTTTGTAACTGGGATTGCTTTGCTGTTGTCAATAGGCAGGATGGAAAGAAAGGGGAGGAGGACAGGACAAAAAAAGAGGTGAATAGAAGGTACAGTGTCTTTCACTTTTATCTGGCAGTGCTTATTAATTACTGCCCAGGGGTCAGGCTCTTTTATGTGTTCTAATATTCATTTATTTTTATTTATTTATTTATTTTTAGCGGAACTGGGGATTGAACTGAGGCCCTTGCGCTTGCCAGGGAAGCACTTAATTCCACTGAGCCATCTCCCTGACCCCCATTCCTTCATTTATTCACTGAGCAAATTTGAATTGGCTCACAAATGTTCGTGGCTACCTTCGATATAACTAGTGTTATCTTCACCTGTCGTGAGGAGGAGGATGAGATGGCAGAGGTCTCACCTGTAAGGTTGGACCTGGAACCTGAGTACAGTGGAGTTCATTCCCAGTTTACAGTGGTTTGACGTGATTTTTGGACTTGATGAGGGACTGAAGGAAATGTACACCAGCGGAAACCGTACTTTGAATTTTGATTTGGGTCTTTTCTGAGGGTTTGAGCTTCTCAGTGCTGGGGGAGGGTGTGGAGCAGCTCCTGTCAGCCACGCTGTCATGAGGGGACCTGTGCTGTGTTGCGAGGTCATGGTGTTCTATAGGCTAAAGGTGTTAAGTGCATCTTTGCTTCCCGATATCTTCAAATGACGATGCATTTATCAGAGCAGAGCTCTCTCTTAAGTCAAGGATGACCTTATTGTGTGCATTGTGGCCCCAGAGCTGTGTGCTTGTCCTGCTGTGTAAGGTTTGCGACTGTTGTCTAAGTGTTTGGGGCTCAGGGGACTTTTCCTCTTTTGTGGGTCACTTTCTTGTTAGATGACAGTGTCCCTGAAAGGGAATTTCCTTTGTACTCAGCAGAATGACATCACCAAGAAATAGAGGAAGGAGGACTTGAAATGCTGAGTCTGTGCCCGTGTGCCCGTGTGCCCCTGCCCTGGGTGTGCAGAGGGTAGGCGGGGAGGGGTGGGAGGGCGTGTCAGGAGCTTCACTTGGTATGCGTGGCTTCCTTGGAGTACCTGTTCAGTGTATGTCAGCAATGTTTTTTTCTCTTGATCGTAGCCAAAAGGCTGAGAAGCAATTTTGTGTTTTGTTTTTTTGAGATCGGGTCTCACCACATAGTTCGGGCTGGCCTTGAGCTCACCAGGTGGCCCAGGCTAGCCCTGAACTTATAGCCGTCCTCCTGCCTCAGCCTCCCAAGTGCTGAGGTCCCAAGTGTCCACTACCACTCCTGGCTTTGTCGTAATGGATTTTTGAAGACTTTTTTCTTTTTCTTTTTCTTTTTTTTTTTTATCAGGGATCAAACTGAGGACCTTGAGCTTTTGTGGCTGAGCTTTCTGCCCGGCCCTGTAGGCTTGCCCTCCCTCCCAGCCTCTGTTTCTGGTGATCTCACTCAGTCTTACAACTTTTAGTACTATCTTTACTGTGACAGGCCTCAGGTTTTTCTGTGTTTGTGTTCTGAGGGTGAGACTCAGGGCCTTGTGCATATCAGACAAGCACTGCGCAACTGCACTGCGTGCCCAGCCCAGCAGCTCGCAAATGTATTTCTCCAGTGAGCTGCAGCACTTTCCTCCTCCTCCTCCTCCTCCTCCT